AGAATTGAATATACACAATTGACAGTAATTTCCTTGTAGGGGCGCGTTCGACATCACGGATACGAGGTTCTTCCAGAGGTGGGACACTACCAACTCTTGGCAGAAAATACTCCTTGTTCTTTGATGTTACATACATCTATATATACCACACTTTGCCGCGCTTGCCACGTGTCATAACTAACCTTTGTCGAAAACTGACCACAACCCCTACCTTTTCCAAAATCTATTTGATGTTTTGCGCAATGGAAGACGGAACTGATTCACCTCGAGCATTCAAAAAGTCGCCGAAGGCGGTAAAACTGACATAAGATTTTTACAAGCCTTGGGAAAGAGCCATGCAAAATGCAGACACGGCATCTCCCATCGAACCCGATCCTTGGCTCCATGCCTATGAAGTGTCTCGAATACCTCTACTCCGAGCCGCCAGTGCTGGACTACCGGCGACTATGTCTTTTGTGCTTGCTCCTGTTGAGCGCTCTCCGCAGACCACCTCCATAACTCCGTCAGAGAATCGTTCGGCAGAATTTAAATGCAGATTTAAATCAGCATCAAAAAATACGTCTAGCAGTGCAGGTCTCATTCCGAATGGCCACTTCGACTTGAGATCCTTGGCTTGTAAGAAGGAGAAGAAGAAGCACAAGTTAAAAAAAAAGAAAGCAGGGAAAGCTTATAATCCTACTATCTCTCTTATGTCTCTCATTTATAAAGCAGAAACTTGGTGTGTTGGTATGTCGGTTTGTAGGTTTGTCGGTCTCTTCGCAAAACTTATGATTACGATAAAGGTACTGATATGGAAAACCTAGCCCCATCCAACATTTTCTTCTTATATGCAAAGAAGTAACTTGGTGGGTTGGCTAATGGAGCGAGTGTTGCGGAAGGTAGCGAGTGTGGAGTGTAGCGAGTACTTCGACACCGTGATTTCGATTGACACTGGAATGGTGTCTTGTTCACCTATACAGAATTTGGGATAGAGCTACTCTATTAACTGCTCTTTCTCCATTCTCTACCCTTCTAATTTCAGGTTAACAACCCGCAGTGAAATTCCGCCCTATCACGAGGCCAATAAAAGTGATTGACTGTCCCGAAACTTTCTTTTGAATTTATTTGGCACATGAACATATTTGACACCACATATTGAGTTCTAATGGTTCTGTTTCTGCTGAGCTCCCCCTCACCAATATTTCCCTCTTCAGCATTTCTGTGAAGAGAAATATCATTTGCACAGGATCTCTTATCACTATTGATGGATGAGCTCCTTCTTTGTTAGCATCGCTCGCTCAACGCCTTCTTTATGACTGACCAACCTGATTAGTCAGCCGAAAGATTTCGAATGGTAGCTAAATATTATTGTCATCAACTGTCGATAATATCAGTATCAAAGTACGCCCGATTCCCATATTTTGGTGGTCGTATAAGTTCCGCAACTGATATTTGAAAGAAGAAAAAGCTGATACTTCAACGAGTCACAAACATCCTACTATATAGAATTCGCTAGGTGTGTCCGTTGGTTTGTCGGTGTGTTTGGGTGTGTCGGTGTGTGTGTCTGACCGGAAATTCATAACTCCTGTCTCCATGGACCTAGAGCGTTCAAACCTGGTAGGAGTACGAGGTGTTTCGACGGTTAGGTGGTAGAATGCTTGATAGGATATTTATCTCAATATTTATTGGGTCAAAGTCGTAAACACAATTCGTACCATTACAAAGTCAACTAGTCTGAAGATTGTGCAACCTTGTTTGTCTCGTTTTGGAATTGGTGGTGGGTCCGACAGGCGGCAAGTTGGGGTGTTCAGCTTATTTCCTTCGAATTGTTGTACCGTACCGCTCTTGTTTATTGTCCATTGGACGTTCTTGCTATTGGATTGTTGGAGAGCGGAGACTGCTTGAGAGAGCCGCCGGGAGCAGAGCCGAGAGCTCCGAGCCCGAGAGCTGTCAAGAACTGGAAATGACAAGAAGTGCCGGACTGCCACAAACCGGGCCTTTTATACCCAAAAAAATGGGCGGTTTATATACTGGCCCCGGTGGGCGGGCATTTGGTCTTTGGTATGGGAACCTTACGAAATTCCAGCAAGTTTGTACTTTGGCGTAGGAACAGGCGAAGTTTCCGCAACTTTGGCGCCTCGCTGGAAGTAATGATTGATTGATGAAGATGCTCATGTGCTTCCTCGTAATCATGACGAAGAGTCATGACACGAGGGGCAGGATGGAACGGGTGGCAGGATCGTACTCCGCTCGAAGAGCGCGAGACNAGGAACAGGCGAAGTTTCCGCAACTTTGGCGCCTCGCTGGAAGTAATGATTGATTGATGAAGGTGCTCATGTGCTTCCTCGTAATCATGACGAAGAGTCATGACACGAGGGGCAGGATGGAACGGGTGGCAGGATCGTACTCCGCTCGAAGAGCGCGAGACGTGCGCGATAGAAATTTCAGGCCGCAAATTCACAACTCCTGTCCCTGTGGACCCAGAGCATTTAAACTTGATAGGAGAACGGAGGGCAGGATGGGAACATGTATGGTTGATGGCAGGACCACACTTCGCTCACAAGGGGCGGGGTATTGCCCCGAAATTATCAATTTGGCCCTAGGGCGTTCAAATTAGACAGGAGAGCAGGCGGCAGGATCGGAACACTTATCGTAGGTGGGAGGACCGGACCCAGCTCATAGAAGGCAAGGTTTGCGGCAAAATTTTCAGTTTGGCTCTAAGGCATTCAAAACTTGGTAGGAGGCAGGCGGCGGTAACGAAACACTTATGGTGAAAGTAGGGCCATGCTCTACCCCACGGGACGCGGTTTCCGCGAATTAACTGTCTGAATCTGTCTGTCTTACTCCTGACCCCGTGGATTCGGAGAACAAAATCAATAGGAGGAGGCAGGATGGAAACACTGACAAAAGAAGAGACCACTCGTCAGTTAAATCCTAGCGCCTTTGTTATTTAAGATCTAGCTCTGGCTTTTTGATATGTTCCATTCGACAAGAAGGGCAAGTGGTGTAATTGTGAGGAGATGAATTTGGCCCACTTCCTGCTATTGGATTACGACCGCTACCCAGCAAAGTTTTAGATTCAGTGAAAAATCACGGTTCCCTCTGCTTTGATATCATTCTTGGCAGAACTTTTCGGCCGCTAATAATGTTGGATCCTCATTTAATGCTGTATCCGTAAAAAATAGCTACTTCTCCAAAGACATTCGATAATCTATACTCTAGCTCAATGAAACGGCGAAATAGCCTACAAAAAAAGGGGAAAGAATCTTATTGATTCAATTTTTTCGGGCGAAGTACCTTTGCCTCAAGAAGGTGGGGAGCCCGACGTCAGCTGGGCGATCCGACTGGTTGACATATAAAGATTTATTTTGTGTTGATTTGCCGGTTTGTGTGTTTGTCGGTCGCAAGATATCATGATTACGATAAGTGCAGTGATATGGGAAATTCAGTTCTATCCTACATTTCCTTCCTATATTAAAGCAGTAACTTGGCGTTGGGTAGGGTAATGGAGTAGAGTGAGTACTGTGGAATGAAGTGAGTAATGGGGGTGAAGTGGGTGTTTAAAACAGTGACTTCTGTCTGTGCTGGTATCGTCCTATGTATGTTTATACAAAAATGAGTCAAATGAATATATTTGCGATTTGTATCCCATCCCAGCTTTCTCCATGAGGTAATCAACCCCATCCCGGCGCTCCTCCTCCCTCACGCATAGGTAAAAACTGTACTCTTCCGCCTTGAATCACTCGAAGTACAGGTAAGATCGGCTTCCCCTTCTTCTCTGCTTCCCCCTGCCCCTAACTACATTTTCTAATTACTTTGTAAAAGTAAGAAATGAGTCCCGGCGTAAGCCGAGCGTTTCGACTGGCATATGTATAAAGCGCTAATGTCTGTGTGTCCGTGTGTGTGCGTGTCTGTATGAGAATATGTGTCCGACCGAAAATTCACAAATCCTGCCCCAATTGACCTAAAGCGTCCAGACCTGGTAGGAACACAGGCGGGCAAGACGAAACACTCATGGTGGTTGGCAGGACAGACTTTGCTCACGGTATGGGGTCTGTGGGCGAAATAAATGTTTAAGCACAAGTCATAACCCCTATTTTCGTGGACTTGGATAGTTCAAAATTGGTAGGGGTAGAGGAGACAAGATTGGATCACGGACGACATGAAAGGAACGCTGACGACAGAAGAGGCCTTATATAGCAAGAACCACTCACCAACTTAATCCTAACGTCTTAGTTTTTCACGGTCCAGCTTTCTCTCTTTAATATGATTCATTTGACAAGAAATGTAAGCGCAATGATAGGGACAGATTAGGGGTAATTGATTACGAGGAAACGAAAATTGGTCCTTCTCTAGACACTACGATCGCTACCTAACGACGTTTGCGACTCAGTAAAGTATTACGGCTTCTCTTGCCTTCGATATCATTTTTGACAAAACTTATCAGACCACAAGAAATCTTGGATTCTCATTTAATGAGGGGTCTGTAAAAATCAAGCTCCATTGATGAAGTTATTTGATAATGATGTTATTTCGACTCGACAACATTTGTGAATACCATTCACGGCTTTGGTCGCCTACCAGTAGAACGTTCAATGGGTTATTATTTTTAAGATGAACAGATTGATTCTGATCATAGACACAAGTATCGGCTCATTCTGAATATCACTTGCATGCTCTATTAGTATTCCATCGAATTTCTCTCGAAAAGTATCATTTATTTTAAATAAGGAGGGGTATTGCCGATCGTTACAACCCTGTAGCAAGAAGGAGGAAAGCCCGGAATTAGTCTGCCGGCGACCCATCTGGATACACATGATCGGTAAGGAGTCAAGTTTACAGTTGACTAGGAAGGGGGCATGCGTGTTGCTGTTACGTGTTGCTCGACGGCTTGCGAGTAAAAACCATGGTAAAAACCATATTATGTCGCAATTTCATAAACTTTTGTTACCCAACCGCACATTATGTCATGGGGTTGCATTATGTCATTGATTTAGCTTACAGCATAATCGTCAACCTACCGATTGTGCACTGGCTGAGCTCGCTGTCTCAGATTTTGGCAACTCTGAAAGTTATTAACTTCTACACATATTGCCCATTGCAAAATCTATTTGTTAAAGAATGAATTTCGGTTTTTCGGCAAATTCGCGCTGACAGCACTCATTGAAGATATACCACCTTTCAGGGCCGCGTCCTGAAAAAGCCTCACTTCGTTTAAGATAGATAGATCTTCCATGGGCAGTTAAAAAGTTGCCACCTTTTTTACTTCAGTGTATGGCGGAGGTGCTTCCAGAGATAAAGGCATCGGCCGAATTTTCTTAAGAATATATGGATTAGCTGACTATTTACATGTCTGTTCGATGGGATTTTTCCGTATTTATGATGATCATAGTCGTGTTGAAAAGCCTATGCATGCTCAAAAAAGGTAGGTGTGCCCTAAGCAATAGNACTCATTCTCCGGTAATTTCACAGTTGAGATGAATATTGATTTGTGATATGTTTGAACAAGTTGTAACTACAGCAGGTGCTGAGGGGATACACTGCAGCATTTTTGATACTGAGTTCGATTTTCTCTATCTACCTTCTGCCGTACAAACGGTACTGCGACCTGTTGATTGAAACTATAATCACGAGTTTTGACTGAAATCTCTACTGTATAACTTGGTAAGCGTGCCTGTTGATTTGTAGATGTGTTTGTTCGTTTGTGTTGTGTGTGTCTGCTTATTGACGTGTTCTTGAGAGGAATTTCATAACTATTAGCCTACTAGACTATTGACAGAAAGTGATACCACTTGATCGGATCTAATATGGAGCCCTAGAAGGCAGGTGCCTTGAGGCCCGTTACGCCTTTCTGATTGGTAGCGAAAACCTGACACATTTGTATGTTATATGAGACGTAAAGTAACAGTAGATGGTTGATGAAAGTTCGATAATAACTGATAGGGAACCATAATGTTACAAAGATTCGGTTTCTCTTTCTTTCTGGCGACAGCGAAGCTTTGATACCCTGGTGGATGTAAAGGGACCGTTGATGCTAGGTGACAGGGTTTGATAACCATTGATAGCGGCTGTTAGCGTGCCATAGATTGCAAGAACTGCTGGGCTATGTGCTTCACGATGACACTTGTACCTTCGTGGTGATATGGCACAAGGATAGCTGGTGGCGAACACGGATAAAAAGCAATGAGGGTTGATAGGGAGCAGTAGGAAGCAAGGGCCACGGGGTATGGAATATCCCTCGCACTAACAGTGGTACCTTGGCACTTTGATGAATGATATGGAGAGTGCTGCGATCTTGTTGAGAAGGACTGGAAACAAATGACTGATAAGCTATAGAGGATAAGAGTTACTATATCTGTAGCGGTCTACGTACTGGTAGAAAAATCTTAACATCTCGGTGGAATTTGTGGTGAAGAAAAGAGCTGATAACAGGCGAGAGTTGCGACACGAAGCTACATATGACGAAAGCCACTGAATCGATGGCGCCTTCATAAATAGTGTAGGATTGACAGAATTGGCAGTAAAGTAATATTCGTTGGAATCGTAGATGGCTTTTGAGAAGGGCCAACTGCTGATTTTCATGTATCTATTCCTCTTGTCGCATGACAGGGGAACACTCCTACTTCCGCGCCTGATATAGGATATGTTGATAAAGATCGACAAGGAACAGTAGGCTATTTGTTTCTAACCCCCTTGGTACAAACGATGTAGCCTTGACCTCTTGATATTCTTTATAACATAAAACGTTATGATACAGCAGGTTGATGAAACCTGAGTGAAAATGGCGGTGTAAGGACCGATGAAAGTGGTAAGATAAACACGGTCCTTCTTCGCTCTTAATTAGATTGAGACGACCTCTCGAGGTCTGCCACTTGATGAGGGACAACTTATCCCCTTTGTATCGTTATCAGTTGCAACGAAACCCATCCAACCACCACTGATTTGAGAGTATTGGCCAGTACACATATACATCCTTTCTTTATATATTCGCCAAGTGTGTCTGTTGGTTTTCAGCGTATTTTTATGTGCGTGTGTCGGTGTGTTTGACCGGAAATTCATAACTCCTGTTCCCATGTATGTGAAGCTTTGGTATGTGTACAGGCGGTAGGATGTGAACACTCATGGCAGGTAGCAAAGCCGGGCTCCTCCCATAGGGGGCGGGGTTAACGCGACATAAACGTTTGCTGGAAAATTCCTAACTTCTATTGGATAGTTCAAAATTATTATAGAAGGATTAGAGGAGACAGGATGGGAGCACTGACGGCAGAAGAGAGGCCTTATAGAGCAAGAACCACCCACCAATTGAATCCTAACGCCTTCGTTATTTACAATATAGCTTTGACTGATTGATGTTTTATTCGACAAAAAGGGTAAGTGCACAGATGGTGACCGATTATGAAATTTGGTTCTCTTCTTGCTTACGACCGCTACCCAGCGAAGTTTGCGATACAATGAAGGATCACGGTCTCCCTCTGCTTTGATATCATTCATGGCAGAACTTATCCCACCGCTAATAATCTTGGATTCTCATTTAGTGCATCATTAAATGAGGAATCCGATGAGGAAATGAGCTACATTCATAACGGCGTTTGACAATGGGTCATTATTGAACAGCGACAGATCGAGACTTCTAATCAAAGGCATGGACATTGGTACATTTTGAATGTCGATTGCATGATCTTTTGCTGCTCTATCGAATTCCGAAGTTCCGAAAAGTATCATTCGTTACAAAGAAGGAGTGTGCTGTTTGCCGTTTATCATAGTTCTTTCATAAGAGGGAGGGAAGCCCGGCGTTTGCCGAGCGGTCCGACTGTCTCTCTATATAAAGCGGTAACTTGGTGTGTCTGTTTGCATGCCCGTTTGTGCGTTCTTTTAAAACACGTAGGCACGATGAATAGTATGAATGTCGCGTGAGCGTGGTGGGGAGACAGTTATGGAATGGGAAGTCAACCGATACTGTTCATATCGGTTTTCTAACAAGTCGTAAGTAAGCGGTAGTGGGCATGTGGTGCACGCATTAGCGTGCGTAGCCCAACTGGTAAGATTTGAAATAGCAGACGGCCTTGGAGAATTCGCATCAGCTTAACGCGAAGATGATTAAGTTCCTTAGCTACAGGAAGTGTGCAGAGATAATTGTGGATTGTGTATGCGAATGTCGTCTGAAGAATGCTTGAGTTTAATATCTGGGCTACATGACAGTAGCACTGACCAGGCTGAGCAGGCCCGAAAAACACGGCACGAAGTGGATGGAGAGAGCCCAGTGGTGTAACCTGCTAAAAGAGCTGCTCCAGGAGATTCAAAGGCGGATTATAAGGAGTAGTGGTAAGACCCACAATCTTTTACGGCGGCGTAGGTGCTGGTCCCAAGAAAAATTCACGTGAGGCCACTTCACTCAGCCGAAATGGGGATGTTGAGCTAGGCCTGCAGACGAAAGGACTGGACCGGTCCAAGAAAGATGACGTCAGTACGGCAATACTAAGGCCATGTTCCGCTGAAAGTAGGAGAGCAGCGCCAGTGATCTTATAGTCAAGCGCTGAGAAGGCTATCGGATCAAATTAGAAAGACAGTAGAGATTGAAATTCAAGAGAAGTGTTTGCGATGGGATTCAAAGACAATCTGGCCCGAGACTAAGGAAGACCCCGCCGAAGTCAAGAGGATGACAGAAGCTTCAGTTAGAATAAAATGGAGACAGAGGGTTCTGCGACTAGTCCTGGAAAGAGAAGAAAGAAGATTGGGTCTACAGGCATTCTTCTGTGATTGATGAACGGAACTAGTCAACAGCAGGAGTCCTACAACAGAAGGGTTGGATGTTGGATGTACACAAGCTTGTGAATAAATTTGCATATCGTGTTCATGTTCATATTGTTGTTGATTTGACCATGTCATCTATTGAATGCAAACTGTTGTGCAGACGTTTAGTTTCCTTTAAAATTGTGCCTTAGAGATGCATGTGACAATCAGGAATTTTTAATTGGAGTGCTTGATTTCTGAGTAAGATTAACTATTCATCTTATCTTGTCTGAAGCACAATAAAATCTATGAAGGAAGCGCTACAACCAATGACTACCTCCATCTCTCCTTTCGGTAACTCTTTGCCGGCTTTTTCTTTGCCGTATCCTTTTACATCAAGTTCCAGCTGTTTCACTTTTGAGGGTAAATGGCGATTTGAATTGTGACGGCTGAAGGAGAAGGCTTGTTATATATTGCTGTGTTTTCGAAATGAGGTCGTAAGAAATGAATAGTGTATCAAAGGCGAAGTGAAAGGAACACTAAAATTCGTATGAGGTATTTATTCGTCGGTTTATAATGAACGCCGCAATACCTTATTTGAAGCTCGGGTCAGTATCCCTCGCGAAGATTTTCAGTATAAGCAATCAAGACGGTCACCTACCCTTCCGGAGCCTTTACTGCGCTTGCTGGGCAGAAATCTGATCCCAAACCTTTGCCTTTTATTGTGTGTACTTGTGAGCAAATCGAAATTGCTTGATCACCCAAATTATGTATGTAGCACACACGTTACAGTTCTGTACTATGTATCCAGGTAATGTGTGATCACTTCCCCAGTGACAAGGCTCTCCTCTCGTCGCAATGCGTGGTATGGCGTCTACTCGAACACAATAAAAACATGACACTTCCATAACGCGTTTTCCAAGGCTGTGGAAAAGCTTTTTCGCTTCAGTACCGTTTCCGAGCGCGATATGATACACCTGGGATGCATATGAAAAGCGCTGTGGTCAGCTATGCAGAACATGGATGATCATTTTGTGCCTTGAAAGCAACTCCAGAGATGAGGTGTGGAGGTTGTCTATGCTTCAAAGCTCCTCTTTTTGCAAGAATACTATTTCATCCAATCCTCGATTCCTCCCTCACCTTTGAAAATCAATTCATCCAAAAAGAAAACGCGTCGTTGGGCTACCACTGTGCGGTCGTTAAAACGTAATATTGGTAGCTATGTGATCAACTGGTGCTGTTTCGCGGTTCACCATGCTCAATAGAGCTTGGATGGACCTAAACATTTACTGAAGTTCCAATGAGAGCATCATAGAATCACCGAATCGAGAGGGGTATTGTTAGGGGGTTTGTTTTGCATTATTCCTCTGCTCTCCTCCTTGGACACTTAAATAAATAGAAAAGTTAAAGTAGTACTCGCTGGCTTGGATAGTTCAGAAGCGGAAAATTTAAAAGTTTTCTCGATAGAAGTGCGCAAACGTTCAAGAACCAGAGTCTGAAACCTTTCTTCATTGCAAGTTGACCTCCCGATTCCGAAGGTTTTTCTGTTTTATCAGCAAAATTGATATGAATCTAATGCACCTTTGT